CTTTGTCTCTCCTCAGGCGTCCCAAGTTGGTCACGTGAGGGCCAAGCATCATCGATATACCCTGTACACTCTGAGCAGGCGATCCCTCATGGGCTCATGCGGTCACGCTGGGTGCCAGTTATCAGAGACCCCTGCAGCGGGTCCTGATCTCCTGCTTGGAGCAGGGTGAGAAGAAAGACAGAGACAGAGTCAGAGAGCGAGAAAGAGACAGGAAGCCAGGATGGCTTGTTAAGAAGCAAAGATTCTCACTAGCCCAAGCCATTGATATTTATTGGTGACATCCTAGTTAGGTTAGGGTGAAAGGGCTACATGTGGTGGCTAGGGATACATTGCTGACGCACTCAAGGCTTGTAAGAGACAAAGCATTCTTAATTTTGGGAATGGAATTGGGTGTGAGTCACTATGACTTTGGCTGCCATGTTGTGTAGTCATGTAGGTTTTGGTCAGACTCACTTCTCAGAATAACCAGTTGTGGGCCAGGGATTTAGCTCAGTGGTGCTGCACCTGCCTCACAAGCCCAGGGTCCTGAGTTTGGTCCCCTGTACTAAAAAAACAAAACAAGCCAATTGCGGGGTTAACTTTTTGCAGCCTACACTGCTCACAGCCTGCTTTGGGCAAAATCAGTGGGGTGGCCCTCCACACCTGGTGAGTTTGAGGCCAGCCTTAACTACATAACGAGACCCTGATAGATGAGAACACTAGAAAATTATCAGCTATTGATAGACATATCAAAATAACATTTTTAGTACCTTCATTTGGATATTTTTATTTTAGGCTAGATTTTACTCAAGACTACTACTTAGAAGTGGCTAGCAGTTTAAACCTGATGTTCTCTTCAACATCATTTGATAAACTTTGCTTGATCCAAAGGAAAACTGGATGAGAAAACCGACTCTCTAAATTTTGGGTTAGTAATTTTTTTTTTTTTTACTTTTACATTTATTTTTCTTAAAACCAAATGCTGGGGTAGCATAAAGACTAACCAACAGCTCAGACATTCTTTGGATTTAATGCATAATTACAATAGTCACATGCACATCCTAAAATTAAAAAGTAAAACGTTATTCCTAAAATCATGTGTCAGTAAAACTTGCCTGGAACTGGTCATACAATATACACAACATGTATACTACTTTGTAGCACAAAATTTCTCAGAACACACATGAAAAATAGAATAATTTATATTTATAAAAAGTACTATTTTATGAACAAAATAACTGAAACCCAATATTATAGGACAACTAATGCCCTGTTTCTCAAAATCCTTTACAAAAGGAGGTAGATTCATAAATTAACAGTTCAAGGTCTGGTATTTTAATGTTACTTTTTTTTCTTCTTTTGCTTTTTGTCTGCTTCCAGTTTAAGCTTAACTTCTTCAGCTGTAAGGGCTCCAAGTTTCTTATTCTTTGCTTTCTTAACCTTTTCCTTGATGGTAGCCACATCAATTTTAGTTTCAGTAGACGCTTCCTTAGGTTTTGCAACAGGCTTTTCTTTAGGTGGAATAAATGCTTTATTTCTTGCCTCTTGTCTCTTACTGAGAGCTTCTGCTTGTTTAGCCTTTATTGCTTCCATTTTCTGTCACTTCTGATTTGCCTTCAAAAAGTATTCACCATTAGCCAATTCTCTGTCAACCTGACTTTCTGGCTGTGGTGGTGGGAATGGTGCATACTCTTTCTTTACAGTTTTCTTCTTTGGTTCTTTGCGTTTATTCACATTTTTGTGTTTGAACTGTGGCAAAAAGCTTTCCCAACTTTGTGATCGTAATTCAGAATCTTTTGCCAACTCTTGTTTAATCATTAAGGTCTTTAGTCATACACATATAAAGTAAAATTTGATATTATAAATTGGATGAATATTCTTCATGGTATCTAAAACTACTTTTCGAACCTCTTTTAAGCCACTAAAAGGTCCAATGGCTGAAACTGTGTTTCCCTGAACCATAATGTAACAGTTTGTTAAGAGTTCCAATGCCTTCAGAGTAGATCCTTTGGGACCAATAAGTGGTTGTCTTCTTTTTACAAATCTTTACTTCTTACTAGAGAACCTATTTTAATGATGTCACACGCAACATCATCCTGAAGAATTTGTACTGCCTGTTCAAAAGAAACACTTCTTGATAACAGTTTTATCAGATCTCAGGCCCTGATGATGATGTATGGATCATAAGTCTTCTTTGTAGTACAAACAGTCATGCTGCCCTCAATCAGGTCCAGGGTTGCATTAACGTGATGTTCATTCAAAGCCTTCTGCACCAAAGGCCAACACTCTTTCAGGTAGGCCTCTCTATATTTAGGGAACAAAGTTGCAAAACTGCTCTCCTCCAAGAGTCCTCTGGGATTGTCCTCTTTAGAAAAAGCTGGTTCCTTCCAACCATCAGGAACAGTGAGGGGTTCTGATTCATCTTGGTTCTCTGGCTTCGGTTTCTGGCTGCGAAATTCATTTTCCTCAGGTGCTGCAGTTGTCCCGTTCTTCGAGGAGGACGCCATTTTCAAACTGCTTCCCTTGGGTTAGTAATTATGCCTCCGTGTTCATCCGGCTGAAAAAGAGCTTGGACCATCCAGGGGCCTAATGTCTCCTATGAGCTGAGGAGCTTAGTTGTTGGATGATGAAAGGTGGGCGGCTGTTTTCCACTAGCCAACTAACATCACTACGCCTCTATGTTCTTAGTTGAAGTAAAAAAATAATGCCCAATTTGTGCAGTGGAGGAAATGAAAAATGTTAACATCTAATAGAAAAATGAAATTTTATTTCATCTTAGGGAGCAATGATTTAGAGGTCAAAAACACACAATGTAGGGGTCGGGGATTTAGCTCAGTGGTTTCGCCGCCTGCTACGCAAGCGCAGGGACCTGAGTTCAATCCCCGGTACCAAAACAACAACAACAACAAAAAAAACCCCACACATAATGTAGCTGGGGGTTTAGTTAAATGGTTCCGCTGCCCGCCTCACAAGCACAAGGTCCCGAGTTCAATCCCCAGAACCCAATAAGTAAATAAAAACAAAAATACACAATGTAAATATTTTATCTCCAGCAATACTTAAATGTATGTTTTTTATGATCTAAAAGTTAGGGCCGGGGATTTAGGTCAGTGGTTTTGCCGTCTGCTGCACAGGCTCAAGGATCCAAGTTTGATCCCCGGTACAAAAAAAAAAAAAAAAAAAAAAAAGTTAAAAAAAGTACAAGAACTCTCAACAGTGTTGCAATAGATGCTGGGTAGACGCCCATAGCAAGAATGAATTAGAAGTAAGCCAGGCATGCCTTTAATTCCAGAATGGAGGCTGAGGCAGAAGGAGCCTGGTCAGTTCTAGTCCAGCATGAACTACATACATACCGAGGCTGTTACGTTTGTTTTTAATGTCCCCCAAAGCCTTATGCGGACTTTCTTTTTCAGAGGTAGTTGAATCTGGAATGTGTGATGCTGGGATTAATGGCGTGTGATTACTAAACCACTACATGTGAGTGACTAGTTTGGCACCGCCCTAATTCTGGTAATCTGAATAAGATAAAAGGGGCAGAAAGATGCTGTTAAACTGTCCCTTGTTGCCTTTGCTACCTTGTAGCGCCATGTTGTTTCTCCTCTGCAATGTCTGTTTTGCCATCCCTGCCTTGCAGCCAGCTAACTATGGACTGAAACCTACGAACTGTAAGCCAAATAAACCCCTTCCCCTCTAACTTTGGGTGTCGGGTATTTTGTTTCAGCAACAAGAGAAAAGTAACTAACACAGAGGCCCTCTCTCAAAAAACCAAAACAGAAAAAACAAGGACGAATTAGAACTAATAATGACACGACAGAGAAGGAAGTAACCTGGACCCTGGAAAACAGAGGGCAGACTCCTCCTTCCCCTGGCTCCTGATGCTAAAGTATCAGGACCACAGTTGCTCCTGCAGTTACATCCCCAGCCCCAACCCTGGAAACCGAGCGGAGCGCGCAGGGCAGGATAGAGGTGAGACCCCCTTCCTCCTGGGGGCGCTTATGTAACCGCTAGCGCCGCTTGTGGGTGGGAAGCGGTCGAGCTCCACGAGGAGGGCACGCGTGGCATCTAGGGCTTCGCCGCTGTCTCGGGCTAATTAGGGCAAAGCGACGCGCTGTGGTCGTAGAGTCTCGTCCGGCAGCTCGCCAGGGACCGGAGCTATTCTGCAGAACCTCGGCTGTGCGGCCGTGTTCTCAGGCCAGGAGGTCAGCGAGGCAGCACGGGGCCCTGGCGGGGACCTCGCCCTGTCCGGCCTTCCAGTCCGGCCCCCGTCCAAGTTCGAGCCGCCCAGAGCGTTCAACACCCAGGGATCGGGACTGGGCCAGGGCGCTTGCCAGATCGGACTTCTGCAGCAAGGCTGTTTTAAATAAAGTTTACACTATCCAAAAAAAAAAAAAGGAGGTCGTCTTCCTTGGCCTCCACACGGTTGGCCAATGCGTGAAGGGGCGGAGCAGGAAGACACGGCAGCCCGTCTGTGATTGGTTAGGCTAGGAGCCAGTCTGGACCGTACCACTTTTATTGGGGGGGGCTATCTGGTGAATTCGAGAGTCGCCCTTGCTTCGGAGTAGTTCTAGTACACGTATGTACTTTTTTAAATTTAAGGTTTCTGCTTGGATACAGCAGGAGTACAAATAGGACGCAGGAGAAGGGAGGACTCGCTCAGCTATTCCCCCATTCCCGACTCCTGCGCAGTTGGCCAGCTTTTCTTGCTCAGTTGTCCCCGGAACCTGGCGGCCCTGAGCGCGCGCCCCCGCCGCCCTGCGTGCGTATGGCGCTGTGCTCCTGCAGCCAATCAGAACGTGAGGTCGCCGCGGTCGCCGGCGTTCGCGCGCACGCACTGGAGCGTCGTGGGGGTGGGGGCCATGGGTGAATGAGAGAGTGAGCGGGGGCGGGCGCGGCGGAGCGAGCCTCATGAATGAGAGGAACGTGCCCCGCGCGAGACGCCACGCGCGCCCGGGCCGGGGAGCCAATGGGAACGCCGGGAGGGCTGGAGCCCTGGCGCTGAGGGCCGCGGCCGCGCGCCGGCACGGAGGCGAGCGTCGGGCGGGAGCGCGCGGGAGCGGGGCGGGTGTGGAGCGTGCGGGGGCCGCGCGCCACCTCTTCTCTCAGCGGCCGGACGGCTCTGCCGAGAAACGGCGGTGACAACGACGGCGGCGGTGAGTCCCGGGGACGCCGGCCCTGCGGAACCGGAAGTGGGGGCCGGCGGTGGGAGGGGAGAGTGACCTCTAGGGAAGGGGCCCGCGGCGGGGGTCGAGGCCCCGTCCTCCTCTGGGCGGCCGGGCGGCGGGTCGGGGCGGGGGCCAGGCTGGGCTGGACCTGGTCCCCGCGCCGGCCCTGGTCGCCGCCCTGCCGCCC